GGTCAAGTTGGACACCACTGAGGGTGAGACGGGAAAAGTGGAAACCGAGACATCTGAACCGAAGGATCTGCCGGTTGAAACCAAACGAGCTGAGACTGTGGAGAATGAGAACAAGAAAGCCCTGGAAGAAAAATCGCAGAATGACCGCCCTGTCGCTCTCAATGGCTTGGAACCTATCTCACCTGAAGAGCAGCGAGAATTGCTGCCCAAGAAGAAAAGAAAAACAAAGAAGCAGTCTGAGACTAAGACTGAGGCGAAGGGGAACAAAGGCACCAAAACGCCAAAGTCTTCCAAGAAGAAAGCTGACCCTCCAAAGCGTTCCAAGTCTGCCAAGCCAACCTGTGCTTCCAAACGGAAGAGCCCAAAGGTGGCTGCGAAGGATGATGAACGCGGTGCTGAGCCTGATGAGCCAGGTCCTGAGCTAGAGGAGGAAGCCGCTCCCATTGGTCGCAAGAAGAGGCTCAGAAGAATGGATACTTCCAAGGTTGAGCCAACCTTGGAGGAGGCAAAGTCAGAGGAGCCTAAGGAAAAGAAAGCACTACGGAAGCGGAGCAGGGCCGGTCCTTCGTCAGCTGCACACGAGGAGGAACCGCAGCAGAAGAAAGCCAAAAAGCCAGGCAAGCCTGACAAGGGCGGGAAGTCCAAGGAAGCCAATTCGAAGTCCAAGGATCCGGAGGTCTCCAAGGACAAGCCTGACAAGGCCAAGCTTGAGGCCAAATCGAAACAATCGCGGAAATCATCGGCCTATCATGTCGCCAAGCGCAGAGCCCTCGCTGAGGGTAAGGAGATGTCGGAAGCCGTGGCTGCTGCTAAGCTTGCATCTTGGCCATCATTCATCCCCTCCCTACATGGCCATTGTGAGCACGCATGCAGTTAGAACGACGCAGAACCGGTGCTTGATTTTTTTCGGCAGCTGAGGCATATGCGAACACGGAGTGAGCAGCGAGCAGCACAGTGCAAATCATTGGGGTTGGGTTGAAGCACCAGCTTCAAGACCCGGGGTATAGGGTTGCCTCTTCCTGCAATCCTGCGATGCTTCTTGCGTGTCAGTGGGGAAATCCTCATGATAGCTTTACTCGGTGAGCATGCCAAAAGAAAAACGGTGGCATGTCTATAAGTGAAGGTTAAATGATTAGCGCTTTGTCAGCTGTCCATCGATAGTTCAAAAACTGGACAAGACATATTATGCATGATCATCTTTTTGGGGTGGCCTTTTTGATTTCCAAATACTGTCCAAAAGACTTAAAAAAGGCCACCCCCAAAAAATGATCTTTAGTAAGCCTTCTCGACTCAAGTGCTCATCTTGGCTTGCCCAAGCTCTTCTGCCCACCATCTATCCCACTTAACTGGAGCCCTTGAATGGCAATTTTCCGCTTGGTTTCAGTTTTGACAAGTGGCCTGGAGACCCTTTTTTTGATCCAAAAAACGGGTCCCCAGGACACTTGTTAAACGCGAACCTAAAGTGGAAAACTACAACCCTTGAACGACATGCCCGTGCAGGCCTTCACCATGCCTGTTCGCACCGGCGCTCTTGCGAAGGGAGCCCACCTTGGAGGTCATTCGCGGCGAGTTTTTTTTCCTCTCGTGGATGTAAGCAGATTGTTCATGATCAATTGCCAATGGATACGGGTTGATCGTTAGAGCTTGACAGTGTCCCTGTGCCGGTATTGCACTTAGCAGCTTTTGGGCCTAAGCCACTCAGCTGATCGATACATATATCTTTGAGACATGCCGCACTCTTCCTTGATCAATTTGCAGCATGTGCAAGCCCCCAAAGCCAGGAACTGAGTGCGTCATTGGCTTTCTAATCTTTTGCAATCGCCTTCATTTTCAGGGGGTAGGGTTTTTGAAACTGCCCAGGTCTTGGTGGCCTTGGTCGATGCCTCGTGATGTTGGAAGTTAAGGGTACCTAGAACAAGCAGTGTCCATTGAGTCATCCCAGGTGCTCCTGCTGGGATGGCTCGATTCTCCACCTGGAGACTGCCCGCCTGCGTTTGATGTTTTCGAAGTCTTTGCAGGGAAACAAGCTATTACCAAAGAGATGTCCCTCCGAATGCACGAGTGTTGATGCCTCCATTTCACCTTAAACACTGGTCATGTAGAACCCAGGTGCTCACAAGGCTATCGAGTGGCTTCGTATGACCGCACTTTTCAACCCAAAGCTATGGAGTTCAACGCCGCACCTGGGTTTTTGCCTCTAGGCTGATGAACCCTGTTTCGAACTGGTACATGAATGTTTCCGGCCAATTCCGAGGCTGGCACTCTGGGTGATCATGCACACGCCAGTCCACTCGTTGCTTCACCTGGCTCCGGACTGCAGTTCATGGGGGCTGCCGGCCCGGGGGACAAGCATGCGCAACTTTATCAATTGGGCGGGCAATGTGCAACTATCATGGGTTCGTAGTGCAAATACGATGGTGAGCCGGTCATTCAGCTCAATTTGATCTGTTTGTTGGACAAGTAACGGGGGTCCACCGAATTCAGTTTCTTCTGGTACTAAGGTCCGTTCTGTGCATATTGGTAGCTCTATCACGCAATCTGGTTTGGACTTTGGAGCAACCCATGAACTCTCTTCTTTGCCGCCATAGACGGTTTCAATGGCTCTCAAACCATGTTTGCTTTGCCACTTGGATAGTGACATATGGATCTATACAGGTACGTATAATAACAGGCAAATTAGTAAATAAGCCTTGGCCAGTACGAACTCAAGGTTCTGGAAAAGAACTTCTCGATGACGCTACATGGATCGCCTTCACCTAAGCCGACAACCCTGTACAGCAACATGCGTGAGATCGGAGATCTTTATTTGGGGCCTCTCACAAAAAGAGAACGGGAGTTTCGCACCACAGCACAGTTGACCCGAGCTTCAGTGGCATTCCATGACTAGTACTGTTACCTACTTTTGGGGGGGGTCGGGCTGAGGAAGCTTTGCGCTCAGGAAAATATATATCCAAAGATGGACGCCCTCGTTTTGTAGGAAACCGAGATGAACTTGGAAAATCACAGACACTTAGCTTAAAATACCATTGTAGGTGCCTGACACATCTCGATCTCTACGTGATTGTTTTCACCAGCTCCACCGGCCCAGGCAATACCCGGAAGGGTTCGCTCGAAACCTTCGCCTGGCCTATGAGAAGCATCTGGGTACCCATGCACCTGGCCGCCGCGAGTTGAGATTCAAACCCCAAATGCCGGTGGAGGGCAAGAGCGATGTTCAAATCTTTCGTCAGTTGCCGTTGGGTGACCTGTGGGAGGAAGCGTCTTTGTTGGACTGCCTTGCCTACCTCATGAGCTCAAAGCGAGTCAGGACTAGTGATGGGCCAATCTTACAAAGAATGGTTTTCATAAGTTTTCATGCCCTCTGTTGGAAGGATTCCGCCTGAATGGATGGATACAATGACCGAGTTTGAAACCACCTACAGAAGCCATGTGCCTTGCATGTATATTTTAACAGATCGAAAGATATCGAAAGTGTACATGTGGATCGATTCATATCGAAACATATACATATATAATCATATATATATATATATCCATCCCAGGTGCTTGGAAGCGAAAGCTTGCTCGCAGAGCTGCAAGGCATCCAGGAGGGCGGATCTTAGGCCCCTAGCTTTTTGGACGGCTCGGCCATCGATAATTAGATGCTGTGCTGCGTTGTCTAAGTTCCCACGTGAGACCCTTTCAAACCCAGGATGTTAAATCATACCTAGATCATCCTAAAGCTGATGATGCAGTGCCTGGGTAGCTTTGTGTTGCCGTGGTGCTTTCCTACGGCATCTTTTGTGAAATCGCCGGCCCGATGAAGGCCGCAATACGAGCGCAAATACGCGCAAACAACCGCAATTCCGCGCAAAAAGCCGCAAATCTAAAAAGTGGTTGTTTGATGTTTTGTGTAATGTCAGCTAGCGGCCACACTAGGTAACATGAAACCACTTTTTGACCGTACGAAGCATTGTTCTGCAAACATGTGGTCAGAAAGTGCCACATGATGCGTGATCTGCTAGCATTTTGGCCTGGATCCCATCTTCAGGATTCTACAGGTGATATTTTGGAAGCATTAGTGATGACTCGGCTGAACTCGAGCAACACTTTGTTGCAAGGAATGGACACGGTTGAATACAAGGCTGATGACCAGGCATCTCGTAAACGAGAACTGGAGACCTTGATTCAGGCTGGGGGCACCCTCCAATTGAGGCGTTCTTTGTATATATTTATATATGTTTCATCTTGGCGGCGTAAACTTTCTAACCAGCCCTCTTTGGAGAAGCCGGAGCCTACTGAACCCGGTGCCCTTGTCCAGGAAACTCGCGATACAAACGCGTACAACATGTTCAGTCTTCCAACCAAAAAGTCCCGACCCAGGTGCACCGCCCATTGCGGAGAAGGCTGGAGAGTTTTGCGCAGGCGTCCCGGAAACTCAGTTAGACCAAGAGGAAACCTCAGTGGTGGTCCCCGCCCGCCCTGTCATTTTTCTGGATCTAGATGATGAGGAGACAAAGGCTCACGGTGGGGCAAAGGCAAAGGAGACACCTTGTGAAGAGTGGACTGATGCCCAGCCACGTGACTCCTTGTCTCCTGGCCTGACTCCAACTGCCTATGTCTCTGAAACTCTACGCACACCTGAACCCACCAAGCGTACTTCCCCACCTGCGCCACCACAGAGTGCGCCGCCAAGCCCAACGGTGTTGGAGACTGCCTTTTCGGAGCCTGGAGAAGGAGCGTCCGTTGGAAAGAAAGTTGATCCTGACTATTGGAGGCCCCTAGTTGAAATGTTTCATCCAAACGGAGTTGCACGAGTTTGCATGCAAAGCTGTTCATAAAAGTCCCTATATAGTTGAACGTGGAATGTTTCATCCAAATGGAGATTGCACAAATTTTGCATGCAAAACTGTTCATGAGTTCTAGGCATGATCTGATCAAAACACAGTTTGTTTCATCCCAGGTTGCGAAGGTACTTCACTCCGAAGGTGAATGGGGACTTGAAATGTTCTAAAGAAGCCATGGCCCTTTGGAGAACCACCAAGGGACGTTCCTAAACTGCAGCCCTAGTGTGAGTTTCAACGAAATGGTCTAAAAAACCTCGGGGGCTCACGGTGCAAAGCTCAGGTGAGGAGCTGAAGAAGATGTTCGCCGAACATGGTTGCTTCGGTCAACTAGAAGTTCAAATCCAGAAGCGGAATGTGAGATCTGAGACTGACAAGAACCAGGGAGGTTGGTACACCAAGTTGGCACTTCAGAAAGAAGGGTGGACTGCGATTTTTGGCTATACATTGCGAGCTGGTTTCCCCTAAGCACCAATCCTCCGCTGGGACTCGTTGGCTCAGGAAGATGATTGAAAAGAGTTGGTCGTGGGCTTTGTCGTTTCCAGCCGGTGTAACACATCGCACACACCCAGTACACGGAGAAGAAGAAATCAAGATAACCTTGCACGAAACCTTTGAGAATAGCAACTCGAACATTGAAGAAGTTACGCGCACGGGATCGATTGGAGTTGAGGAGTGAGAGATTCAAATTTTCTTTGACGCCCACTCTCTCGTATTGACCCCTTTCCCAAACCAACGCTTGCCAGGACGAGGCTGGCACCTTGTTTGATTCAGATCTTCAAGAAGCACCTTGCAATGGGGCAGCGTCCAGCAATGGGAATGGGGCGAAGGCAACACTACAACCTTCCATGGTCAATACTGGGTCGGTCATGAGCTTCAAGTACCTCATCTTTAATTCTTGGGGGATGAAGCAGCCTTCATTGAACCTGTTGAATGTGATTCTGTTGAAACCTGGGAGGTTTCCCATCAACACCAGCCAAACCAGTCGGGGTTGCGGGGTCTTTCAATCCTCTTGAGCCAAGGATGTCATTCCCCACGATTACGGAGACGACTTCGCCGGTGCAAATCCTGCCTCAATTCGTCGATGTTTTGGGGAAAAAGGTCGATAAGGTTGCAGCAGAGCTGGACCCCTCTCGTGCATCTCTTGATCCGTGTTATATAGGATGATTCGTTGGGCTTGGATTGTTTGCGTTAGCGAATTTGTTTTGCAGGATCGTTTGACCAAACTCAGCAAGAATGGCAACACTGCAGCAACAGGGTTTCTAGTATGCACTCGAGAAGCTTATGTAAATCAGGTCAGTTCTAGATCATGTGTTGGTCAGCTTTCACATCCCAGGATGGAGGGGAAAATGAGATCCCAGATGGAGAAGATGCAGTCCATTTATGATCAGCTCACCACATTCCTGTCTGAAGCCACTGTTCGCCCAGAAACTTTGGACAGGCGCGGGTGAGTAGGCCTAAAAGACGCCTACGTTGTTTCCTCTTGCGCAGGGACAAGAGGTCTGAGATCCAACAGCAGTTCATCAATTGCACGAAGCTGGACGTCGCGATGTGCAGTTTGTTGATGAGAGCCAAGCCACTGATTCGAATAAAATCAATGGATCGAATTATATTGTACGTTTATCGTTCTGACTCCACACAGTTTCTTGCCCACTCCTGCCCGGTGCCAAATTGCCTTGACGTGGCGGCAGCCAAGGTCGATCAAGGGTGCGCCAGGTTCCTCAACCGCGGCGGAGAAGCGACGCAAGAGTAAGACGAGTGAGACTTCGTCGAAGAAGCCTAAGGGATCTAAGGCCAAGGGCCCGAAGGGTGCCAAGGCCAAGAAGACCGAGTAGGGTAGGCCGTGGATTCTTTTCGGATCATGCGCGTTTGAGTCGACAGGGGTCTTTGTGTTTTGGGCTTAGAACACGATGTTGAAAACAATGAGCGCAAGCCTCGTATATTTTGCTTCTTTGGGGTAGCTAGCATCGTGATTGCCCAGTTGGACACAATTGATCGGCTCTTGCTGGCAGTGGCACGACAGCCATGGCCAAACCATTTGCCTACAAGGTCAAAACTGCGCTCAAAAAGACTTGCATAGCGCAACAGCTGCTGCTACTTAAACCTCGTGCTGCTGCAACAAGTTGCAGAACAACATGCAAATCATGCAAAAAACAATTCCATGAACCTGTTGAACTTTCACGCCAGGTGGGCTGAAGGAGTCCAAAGAATCTTCCAGGGGTGACCTCCAAATATGTTAAGCAACTGTATGCGATGTACTGCATCGACCTATATAGCACCGGTAGTACGTCTTTTGCTTCAGGTATTTTTGACTCGTCTTCGAGCTCTTCAGACGATGACCTGGTCAACAGTTTTATTCAAAACTTTGCGGATGGAGTGCCTTGTCAGTGGCTGTGGATACATGTGTCTCTGGGTTCTCGTTCTTTTAAGTTGAGGCTAGCGCCAAATCGGTGCTGGATGATGCGACTAGAACCGAGAAGCTATTGGACAAACATGGTGGCTAGTCTGCGTGAGGGTCACACAAGTGTTGAAGTGTATCTCAACCCTTGGCCCATGCTTAATCTTGAGATCACTTTTCTACCGCTAGGTGTCTATGACCGAAGCGTCACCGCTCTGGCCTCCGTTGGGAAGTATGATAGGCACAGGTCCAATTGCAGCCGTGGGCTACATGGATTCATACACCGGACTGGCCGTACTTTACGGGTGCAAATCGATGCAGTCCAGACTCCCATCAAGATCAGCCACCGCCGCAAGGTTGGCACCAGACCTTGGCCCGTGTGCTACCTATCAAGCTGGTGCAAAGTGTGTATGGAGGACCGCAAGTATGCCGGGTTTTTCTTGTTGGGAGGGCACCATGTTTACAATGATGTCGAGAAGATTGAATCCATGTTGCTCAACTTTTGGAACCGTTACCTACGAGTGGATCCACAAGAGGAAATGCCTCCGTCCCCAGAACGGACAATAGGCTTTTACATACATGGAGATGAGGGGAGGGGGCAAGGCAGACGCCCCCTTCTCATCATCAGCTTCCAGCCCATCATCCCTTGGTGTGGAGAGAATGAAGTGAACTCCAAAAAGCTCCTAGCCCCAAGTATTGTTTGTTTGCATGTGTGAGTTTCTGACGTGCAAACAGGTTTGTTGGATCTTGTTGGTGGGGTCGTGCTCCATGTGAATCTTGCTCGCTCCATGGCGTGCCCAAGGCACACGTATTGCACTCGTTTGCTCTACACGGTTGTGCCATCAGAGAACTACGCACCCAAATCGGCGACCCAACAAAAACTAATGGAATACTTGGTGAACGATGCAAACAAGCTCTACACTGAGGGAATCCAGGCTCGTCACTGTGGGCAGGTCAACCTTTCAGCTTGCAACGTGCCATGTACAACACATGTGAACATCTTACAAATACCCCAGATTCTGCAAAAACTTTACCATCCATTGCAGGTCACTTGGCAAGGGCGCACCACCCGCTGGTTCTTCAAGTATTTGGGAACCAAGGGTGATTGGCCCTGGCTACGGTCGTGTTTTAAACTTAGTGCGGGATTTACATCGAAGCGGAAGTGTCACAAATGTGCTTCCACTGAACCATGTCTGCAATTGCAGTTTCAATACCAGGCCGTTCATCACGCACTTGCATAATTTGGATTTGCCCATGTGTCCCTTCCGACCTCCCAGGACTGGTATAACTTTGGACAGCGCAGCACGGTGAGATCATGGCGGAGTGGTGGGAATGTGGCTTCACCTTATCATGCTGGCAGTGATGCGGCTGTAAGAGGAATGTTGCCGTGTGGCGATGACACCGACAAGATAAAGATCGACTTGGCCCATACCTATGGAATTGGGTATGGAAAAGATGAAGCCGCTTCTGCAGTGGTCTTCTTGGCCATTCGGTGTGGCACATTTGGAGATGGAACGATTGACTTCCAGCTGCATGAGGCATACCTCAACTTCATGGCATGGTGCAAGCTGAACCACAAGAGTACCTCCGTGACCGGCTTCTGCAAGGAAGACCTTAAAATCACCTCGTTACTTGGCTTCTATACTTGTCGCTTCTCCGTGTGTTTCCTTTGCGGCCACTTCCGCATTTTTCTTTGACACGCAGCTCTTGACTCCCAGGCTCCAGCAGTACCCCAGGGGTCTGGGCAAGGGCTCGGACACTGCAGTGGTTTCTGCTTGGTTGGAAAGCGTGCTGTCGTCCATGACCGCCGACTCAGTACCAGCTACTTGTTTTGCCTAGAGCTGCGCTGTGCAGTTTGACAGTCCTAGCCTGACCTTGTTAACATGTGGTGCGCTAATCATTTGGCTTGTGATGTGAGTCCTGGTCAGGATTCTTGCAAAGACCTCTTCAGCGTATTGAAATGGGGCAACCAAGCTGCTTGCAGATTCTTCCGTACAATCTACGGGGGACGCCTGTGGCTTACAACTGCTGAAGCTGCAGAGGCAGTGCGCTGCGGTTGGGACATGACTGAAGCTGGTCTGCACATAGATCGGTACGGTGGCTCTAAAGCTGTGGCCAGTAGCGCGGCGCCGAGAAGAGTGGCGCTATGGCCCGGCTGGCTGCGGTCAATCGCTGGGCCCTCTTTTATGTCAGACCAAAGATCCACATGATGCAGCACGTTGTGAAACTTGGCAAGGAATGCAGCCCGACTGTTCTGCTTTGTGTTGTGCTTCGAAGGGTACTACTACTACTACTACTACTACTACTACTACTACTACTACTACTA